ACCTTCATGCGACATCACATCAGCAGTGCAGAGCGGTGCCAGTCCGAGTTGGAGGTACCGCAGACGTGGAAAAGGAACAAGATTGGTCTGCAATTGTAGCAGGGAAGCTGTCACTGGACCCTCGTGCCTAAGAGTGGCGGTGAACCCGCTGGTTGCTTGAGCAACCACTCGATTGAGATGAGAGAAGGCGGGCCTTTCAATTCCCAGCTTCTTGGTGCAAATATCCGTCAACGCTTCATTTTCACACAAAACAGAAAAGGTGCTGATGTCGTCGAGAGTGCTGCAGCAGAGGATTGCATTATAGGGCTCCACAACACAACAAGACTTCTGGTGGTCTGGAAAGACAGCGACTTCAATTTTGGGTATCTTCATAAACTCTGTGTCCAGTAATTCGGCAATACCTACGTCAAAAGTGTGTCTGTCAAAGCAAATGAAAAAGTAAAGCGGTGGCAAAAGAAAGGGTTTTTTAACTCACGACAGGCTGTGCCACCACCTGTGCCTCCGCCATAAGCATGACAGAAGAGAATGGCTTGGAGGAGGTCGGTGTGCTCAACCTCCTTTCGAATGGAATTGATGGTTGTATCAATCAAGGTTTGTGGGACTCCGTAGTACCCACGAGCAAAATTGTTTGCCATATCCTCCAATCCACTGATCAAACCTCGTGGATTAAACATTGTTCGGTAGAGTCCACAACGAATCTCATCTGAGCAATTAAAACTAACTTTTATCTCCATTGCAAGGAGAGAAGGGTGAGAAGCGGATGAATAAAGACGCACCAACAACAGTGGGTTCGGTGTCAACAATTGTGGTGCGTGGAACATAGCGATCCTTATTGTCGACCATGAAGAAGACGTTGCCTGATTGCTTGTCATAGTCACTCTCCGCCGAGGGATCGATGAGCATTCCATCGGGGCCGACGCCGTGCTCCACAGCCATCAATTCCCACACGGCTTGAGAGACCTGCGTTCCGCACTGACCGGCGAATACGCTGATCACTTCACCAAGCTATGAAACAATATGCAGCGCCATCATCGCTTCCCCGTATCCCCTAACTTCCCAATGCCTACACTAAGTGCTCCGTTTAGACATTTAAAATCGACTTCTAAAAGGCAAATGACATAAAGAGACATTAAAATGAGAGAAGCATAAACGAACCGGCATTGTCAGGGCCGAGACAATGAATGCACGAGGTGGGAGGACGCAGTCTCGAATCGATTTTTCGGGTTTGAACTTCGCCCTATCACATGGACGTCAAACATGGCTGCGACGCTAATGGCACGTGATAAAGTCTTTCCTCACTGACCCATTCATCATCTTCTTCTTCTTCCTCATAATTACTCCTATTTTGGCCTCACTGCGACTGTCATCCTTCGTCCACTCCTTCTCTCCCCATCTACCGGCTATATTCCACCCAAAAGAACAAATGGACCGTAATTTCTGGACCTAGTAACGATGATGGAAGCACAGTTTCCACCTAGTTTGATCACTAGCGTTTTGACTACAGCCTTACCTTCTTCCGTACGCCGAAAATACATGCTCTAACCCAAGCATCCTA